GGCTCTGTACTGTGTACACACACCAGGCTCTCTGAGTTTTAGAAAGTTTATTGCAAGCCAAATCTGTGTCACACATGAGGATAGTGCCCTGCCCTGTGAATCTGCCTACGTCCAGCTGGCCACAAAGTTCCATGTGCTAACCAGCTCCCTGAACTGGGATGACCCTCTGCTACCACAGGGAATAGCCTTGATGAACCACATGCCAATGTTCCCAGCTAGGGTGACCAGACAGCAAGTGTGAAAAATCGGGACGGGGGTGGGGGTTAATAGGAGCCTATATAAGAAAAAGACCCCAAAATTGGGACTGTCCCCATAAAATCAGGACATCTGGTCACCCTATTCCCAGCTCAGTTACAAGCCACAACAGAGAAGCTGCATAGCTCCTTATTCACAAAATTGATGTCCCAGAGAACGCCTGTGGCTGTGCATGAGGCCCTCCCAGCGCTTCACACAGGAAACATCCCAGGGTCTATACAAAATGACTACATGCTTATTCTCTCATACAATGTAAGTGGGGTCTTAATAACACACAGAGATGTACGTCATTTGCTTTAACTGGAAAGCGATGCTGGAACAAGTGAGACAGGAAACAGCATTCCGGTACTCATCCCATTTGAAAGTCTGATTGCCCTGCATTCAGAAGGGCTGGATTGGGCTCCATTCATACAGGGGGAAGGCACTCACACAAGTACACTGTTCTCTTTTATTCTGGTTGAGAAAAACATGGCTAATTACATGACACTAATACGGTGTGACACAGAGTTAGTGCAGCAGAATGGTACAATATGATGCTCAGCTATGCTTCTGAGCCTGATTTCCTTTCCTCGTGCTGAATAACTCCTCAGCTCATTCTGAGGGGAGAGATAAACTGGCTGGCATTAAGGCAAGGTCTTTGACACATGCCTGCTAGCACTGCTGAGCAGTGATTCAAACCCAACAGCATTCGCTTCACTGTGCTAGCACATGCAGAAGTAATAGACCAACAAAGGTGGTTAAAATCAATGGTTCAGCTTAAAATAGATTCTTTCATAAAAAAAAACCTGGAGCGTTATGGCCTAAAACATGCATTGATGTTTCAATAAACTGCTTCCTTACTTTACGGTTGGGAAAATATGAATGGGTAACTTGCATGCATATCAAGCATTGGAAATAGGACTAGATCACATTAACGAACTGTTAATGCAGATCAGCAAGGTCCATGCAGCCCATAAGAGGCTTGTGCAGGGTAGACTCATACCCCAACTTGTTATGAGCAAAATGTTCCTGTAGACAAGCTCTTAGTCTTAATAATATCGCCTCCAGAGTTTCTTACATTCTTTAAACCTCTACTGCAATCTGTATTATACACAGCAATATTTTTGAACGGGCATGGAAACCCTGTTAAATTTTGGGTTAATGTGTATTTCTGGTTTTCTAGCTAGCATACGTGCTTACCTGGTCTCATCACTATAGCATCTGAGTGCTTCCTAATCTTTACAGGTCTACCCCAGGGATCGGCAACCTTTGGCACGCGGGTCGCCAGGGTAAGCACCCTGGTGGGCTGGGCCGGGCCGGTTTCTATACCTGCCGCGTCCGCAGGTTCGGCAGATCGCGGCTCCAACAGGCCGCGGTTTGCCACTCCAGGCCATTGGGGGCAGTGGGAAGCAGCGCGGTCCGAGGGATGTGCCGAATCTGCGGACGCGGCAGGTAAACAAACCGGCCCAGCCAGCCAGGGTGCTTACTCTGGCGAACCGCGTGCCAAAGGTTGCTGATTCCTGGTCTACCCTGTGCGGAAGGGAAGTACAAGCATAGGGAACTGCGGCAGAGAAGTCTGTAGTGCAGCAGCATTTGAACCCAAGTCCCAGAGTAGTGCTGTTATCACTGGATTATCTTTAATGGCAGTGAGTAGCTGGAAGACAGATTTGCAGCCTGGCCGTGGTGGGTTTTGAACTATTTTGCTCTCTGCTGCTTGAATTTCCTGTCTTCTTCCTTGTTACATCTGCTGATTTCGCTGACATCTTTTTTTGCCAGCAGGAATCCAGGCACTTTCCTTCATCCCTCATTGAGGGGTTTTGTTATGTTTTTAAATATGGCAAACCGGCTCAAAAATGTGCACAGCTAGAAAATAAACGGAAGGGTTGTCCAGTCAGCACTGTGTTCCTTAGCAGCTGTCACTTTTTGTTTTAGTCATGGCAAAGAAGGTTAGTGGCTGAATTGCCACTGAATTGAGAATAGCGAAGAGTCGTCTTATCAGTTTCAGAACTATATTCAACTCCAACAGTAGCAACTGGCTGCTGTAACACTGGGACTTCATTTTGGTCTTATTCTTCTGCTTGCCTAGTCTGTGGCATTACCAGCACAGAGACTGACAGGGTTCCTTCAGAGAAGGAAAGAAATAAAAGATTAGATTCGCTCCTGCTGGCTCAGGGAGGTATTTTCACCTAGTGGGGTCTTGCAGGGATTGGTTCTTGATCCTACGCTATTTATCAATGACTTGGAAGAAAACAAAATCATCAAGTTTGCAGATGACCCCAAAATGGGGGGATTGGTAAATAATGAAGAGGACTGGTCACTGATACAGGATGCACTTAGTAAGCTGGGTGTAATCAAACAACATGTGATTCAAGACAGTCAAATGTAAAGCTGTACAACTAGAAATAAAGAATATAGGCCATACATACAGCATGGTGGGAGGCAGAGTCACTGAAAAAGATTTGGGGGCCATAGTGGATAAAGAGATAAACATGAGCTCCCAGTGCGACACTGTAACCAAAATTATTAATGTCATTGTTGGATGCATAACCAGGGGAATTTTGAATAGGGGTAGAGAGATTATTTGTTACAGGTGTGACCGCTGCTGGAATACTGTCCCATTCTGGTGGCCACAATTCAAGGAGGTTGATAAATTGGAGAGGGGTCACAGAACAGCCCATGAGCATGATTAAAGAATTAGAAAACAAGTGTTATAGTGATAGCCTCAAGCAGGGATGTTCCTAGGGGCCCCCCTTAACATTTTTTTATACAGGTGAAATCTGGTTACAGTGAACATCAAGGGCAGCTGCTGGCCACAGGTTAAATATTGATAGCACCCAGTTGTATAATTATAATTTTGTTATATTATATTGTAGTTCTTTTTTATATTTATAATGAAGTTCATATAATTAAAAAAAAACGTAACCGATCACAATCAGTGTCGCAACGCTTACATTCTGATATCCACCTTCCTGGACTTCCTTGCAGCAGACTCACTTCCCGCTACCCTTGGTGGATTTAAAAAAAATGTAATTATACATTCACAACACTGAGAGCCCACGTCTCGGGAACTGGGTGGCTCTTGGAGGGCCTATATGTGCCCAGTGCTGGGGGACCCCAGAAGCCTCCAGCATGGAGGAGGGGCTCTAAGATCTGTTTTCTCTGGGGGCTGGGAGTGGGAGGGGAGGCAGAAAAGCAGATGGATGGAGGACTCCAGTCCTGGTGGGTGGTGGAGAGAGCAGAGTTGTGGGATCCCAGGTCCTTGTACTGCAGGGCGGGGGACCCCAAGGCTGGAGAGCTGAAAGGCAAGGAGGACCCTGAGGCAGGGGTTGATAAGGGCTGGCCCTGGCCTGGAGGTGGCATTGGAGGACCCCACTCAGTGCTGGGAGAGGGGAGAAAGGGCAGTGGAAGGGGGAGGTGTGGGGCACTGGGGGGACACCAGTGCTGGGTGACGGGCGAGGGATGATGGAGACTACTGGCTGGCACTCACCTGTGCTGGGGCGAGGGGGCCCCCTGTGCTGGTGGAGTGTCCCACTGGAAAAGGTCAGCCTGGGTCAGCTTGCTCTGGCACTAGTGGTTGGGGGTGCACTAAGACCCTGCAGTGGCAGGCGATGCTGGGAGCTGGCAGAGCAGAGTGGGCTGGCGCTGGGTCACTTGCTGCTGCTACTGCAGAGACTGAGCCCGAGCCCACAGGGGCTCGGGCAAGAAATAAATGGCCGGGCCGGTGAGTGTGGGGCTCAGGCCTGATCCCTGCTGCCGCCACCACCAAGCCCCCCACGAGCCCTCCCAGGCTGCCTTGCCCTTCCCCCGTGTCCCTCTTAACTGTGGGGCCCGGGGCGGTTTCCCCGGTCTGCCTTATGGACGGGACCTCTCTGGCCTCAAGAAACAGTCTATTTAGTTTAACAAAGAGAAGGTTAAGGGGTGACTTGATTACAATTTTTAAGTACCTACCTGAGGAATAAATATTTGATAATTGGTTCTTCAATCTAGCACAAAAAGGTGTAACACAAGCCAAGGCTGGAGGCTGAAGCTAGACAAATTCAGACGGGAAATAAGGCATCCATTTTTTAACAGTAAGGGTAATTAACCATTGGAACAATTTACCAAGAGTTGCGATGATTCTACATTACTGGCAAGTTTTAAATTAAGATTGGCTTGTTCCCTACATACTATGCTCTAGACATTATTTTGGGGACGCTCCATGGCCTGTGTTATACAGGCGGTCAGACTGGCTGATCACAATGGTCCTGTCTAGCCTTGAAATCTATGAATTTCTTCCTTAGTGAAGTTAGCATTGGTTTTTCATCAGTACTTTAACAACCACTGTGATACTATCCATTTAGACAAAGAGTTGTCTGGTGAATATTTAACTAGAGGAACTCTCAATTTATAGCTCCACTAAGGAAACTCAAAGTGTTCTCAGATCTTTTTAAGATGAGCCCTTTCTTTCTCTGGATCCATTCCTAATTCCACTGAAGTCAGTGGCAATTTCAACTATTTTCAATGGAATCAAGAACAAGCCCTATCTTTTGAAGTGTTTAGCACCTTACTGGATTAGATCTTTTATGGAATGTTGTCTTTGATGGGATAACCTCTCTGTTTAATTGACCCCCCTAATTTACTTCTTGTTATTCGGTATATAATATGGTCCTGGAAATGTACGAATCTAATTCTTATTGCATTCATTTGTATCTTAAAATGTGTTGTTACTGATGGCACTTACTATGTACAATAAACTTTATTTGCAAAAGAAAGTCGAGTACAGGATCTAGGCAGAATCAACCCATGCTTTTATTTCCATTGCATATAAAAATTTCATATGAAGGTATCGATGTACAGTACTACTCCATAGGCTGTAAGAGAGGCTAAGAAACCATTGAAAGACTAATCATTTGCAATGTTCACACAAGTTGCCAGTCTAAAGACATACCCAAAGGAAAAACCAAACTAAAACAATAACAAAAATTGTTCAGGATTTCTGTTATTATAGTGTCCCTTTTATACTGTTTAAAACAAAAGCAATCAAATTCCTTTGGGCCAGGGCTGCTAAAATCTACAGTTTGTGTCAAAAAGGAGGCTCTGTTTTTCCTTGAAAAAGAATCTCTCCTTTCACTGAACAGTCACATGTTACAAGGGCTGGGCATCAATGGAATGGAAAAGAAATATCTATCTTACACTAGCAACTTAATTGCTATCAGGAGTCCTAACTGGCCTACAGCAACTGTGGTGTTTAAGTGGCAAGGGATGCTTAGGAGAGTCCAATTCTGCAAAACTAATACTAGTGTTATTTAAAGGGTTACAGTCATCCTTTACACCTAGTGCATCTACACTATGCACATGTGTACAAAAGCCTTAGGTACATCTACAAAAGAGGAAAGCTTTGGCTGCTTGTAACACTAATATTAATGTTGGAAACATTTCCAAGATTTCAAGTTGTCTTTTGCCCTACTCTATGGATTATGGTTATACAGTGGTGTACTGTACTTCCTGTACATCTCAATAAGGAAGGAACATGAAGGACAGTTGTCAAAATAATAATGCACATGAATTCTGATTAATTCATTTTCCTATGTGCCTAAGAGCCAAATGAGTTATTACAACTGTCCCATGTGTATAGCACATTTCTGCAGTGCTGTTTCAAATGACTGTGTTAACTTCAAAAAGGGAACAACAGGTAATGGCTGAAGTAATCCCTGATTATAGTCTTCAAAAGTGGAAAGAAAACCATCAGGTAGACAATGCAATTACACTACTGTAGGTAAAGAAAAGCTTGACTTTCAAATGGGGCCATGAATGAAAACAGGTTGTAGTATTGTACATACTAGCTTGTGCCAGTGACTCAATCAATTAACTACTAAAAATATTGTAGGAATGCCCAGCCCTAGCCCCATAACTACCTTACTTTCAAATGCAGCAAAACAGAAGAAAATATTGTTCAAAGTTAAGGCACAGCCCTGGGACCAAAGACCTGCAGCTTTTTTATTTATATATCTTTATGTATTTTATAGTTTTTCTCAAATCTTCCATAAACAAGCTCTAAGGTGACATAGAATATATTACAGGAGAAAAAATGTACAAGGAGTATGTATACATAATATTCATTCTCTCACCAAGAGTTTCCAAATATAGCAACACCAACCTGTCAAGGATGATGTTATAATAAGAACTGATAATTTACAATTAACATTACAGTATGTACATTACAATAAATACATGGTTGTAAACAGAGACAAACAAGACTGTATTACAGGTAAGGTCATTTGGTGAGAAAAATGCATGGCACAAAATAAAATAAATAATGCATTTTAAAAGAATTGTCAAAGCTTTCTGTAAAATCCATTTCATTCAAGTTTTTTTTTAAAACCTTTGAATGCAATTTGTTCTACCTGTATTCACTCATAATTTTTAACAATAATGCAAAAAAACCCAATTAAAAATAACAAACACAGCATTACTGAGTACAGTAACTTGCAAGCTAAAGTGTACTCTTATAAGCAAATGCAGGTTTTTCTTTTTTTTCCATTCAGTACCCAACTCATTGCACTTTCTTATGGTAAAAATATTTAGAAACATGTAAAGCCACTTGTAAATTGTATTATTTTTAAAGCAGTGTGCAATGCTAAAGCACACTTCGGCAAAGAAAAAAAAAGATTGTACAGTGCATTAGATCCCTGGCTCTAAGAAATCATACATTTTTCTACTATTTGATTGTCCATGTGTATGGGTGTATATTTCACAATATGGTAGCATTTTCTTTAAGCCTGTTTGTTTTCAATTAGTGCAGATGTAAAACCCTTTCAGGTCCATATTGATTTTTGGAATTTATATTGCTTTTTTTCATGTTTAAGATTCCAGGCACTCTTGGGGATTGAAAGGAATTTTAGATGGGAGTGGGGACTCAGGGGGAGATGGTGAGGGAAAGAAATGAGCCTGAAGCTCCTTTCAGCATGGCAAAATCTCTCCATTCACTTCCCCCTTTGGTATCTTCTCAGATAAAGCCCTTTCGGGGCTAAAGGCAGGTAAACCTACAACCTGGAGATAGAAAAATGCAAAATGCACTAAAAGCTAAACTATTATCCAAAAGTTTTTAAATGGGTTTGTATCCTAGATCTCTGAAATTGGTATACCCCTTATTCATTTCCTATACATTCACTGGTTCAACTGAACTCAAGCAAAGGAAATAAGTGCCATTTCCATTTCATCTTGTCAAAAAGTCACGTATGCCTTGTCATTTGATCAGAATTTGTGACAGAATTTGTTTTCCTAGGCAACTATTCCCAATCTTACTCATCAAAATTAGTCTTAATAAAGAGTCAACCATAGGAGATAAATTCCTTCCCACTACACATGACCTATCAGTAGAAATGCATAATGACAAACATGACTCTATAAAACCTCTTTTTCCTTCCAAGTTACTGAAGGCTTAGGTACTGACCAGATTTAAAAGTAGGATCCTTTCAGCACAACTTGGACATAGGAAGAGAAACATTTTGAAATTCTGAAGTAATGTGGGGGGAAATCCAAACCTTTCCAAGCATTACTGACTTGTTTTTTTTTAAAAAAAAACCTTATGATCTGGCTCTTCATGCAAGGAAAAGGAGTTCTGAAAAATATGCTAAAGGTTATTTTTTAAAGACACACACACGTACTTCTGAGGTGAGCATGTGCTCCAGCTAAACAGAAATTACTGCCCAAACTGCTGACACAAAATAAGTTTTAAGGGAGACAAAATAGGAAAGATTCTACTCTTTTGCCACAGCAAATAGGTTGTTCTTATTTAGTGAGCTTCAGTTCTCAGCCTCAGAGTGATATTCTAATGGAACTAATTGTATTAAGCAAAGAGAAGTGTTATGTTTATATAAAAAGATGGTTCATCACTTTTTCATACTGGGCCCACTCTTGCAATTCCTGACTTGAGTGGTCCCATTGGTTTCAGTGGGACTACCTGTGGGAGTAAGAGTGGAGTTGCAGGGTCAGCTCCACTGTGAGGACAAAAGTAGACTTCTGTTGTTTGTCTGAAAGAATTATAATAAAAAGAAACAAAAAATGAATTCCATCCTACTAAAAGGGATTCCTGCAACATAAACAAAAATATTTCATGGAAGTCATTGGTATATAAAACAATGGATTTTTACAGCTCAAATCAATGCTATAAAAATCTAACGTGCAAAACTAAAATAAAATAAAATCTATAACTAGATAACTAGAAGTATTATCCAGTGTTGCACAGATTTGTACTGAAAAACTTGCAAGTTACTCTTTGGAAAAAATAACCAGCGGCAGATGAAGTTCTGAAGGTGTTTTTTTCTTTAAATATAATACCTCAATACATTTAATAATAAAAGTAAGCTCTACAAAAGATCTCTGTTTTACATATAATACAAAATGCAGAGGTCAGTGTAACCCACTTGGTGACACTTTCTTTATTTTTTTTTCAGTCATGTATTAGGAAGACTTGAAATTAGAAAATTATGCAATTTCCACAGCTCATCTTCCTACAGGTAACAGATTCATGTTGTGTCCCATTATTCATGTGCATTTGTTTTCCATTAGGAACCTCAGTTCATTCTCTGGCTGTTTTCTTAAAACTCTGATGATGAATGTTATTCAATGCCTTGCTTGTAAAATAAAAACAAAACACCCAATGCACACCAGCCTTTTGCTGGTAGGCTGTATTCCTCTGAAACCACTTTAGAGACCTGATTTCGTCAATCAAATCTGCCAAATGGAGATCTTATTAAGATGCTGTTCATGGATGTTTTCCCCTTTGCTCTCTGATGCCATGGAGGTGAAATTGTGGTTACAATATTCCTGAGTGCCAAACTGAGTAATTAAGGTCAGTTTTGATCAACAAACGTCCTGGCAGGTGACAGTGAGGTGTGACCATGGTTGTGGCATGTGATATGCACTTTGGAAACCATTTTCTGATTTAAAAAAAGAAGAGAGAGAGAGAGAGACAAAGAGACAGAGAGAAAGAAACTGAGTCTTCACACTGTTACGTGTCAGGAGAATGATCTTCCTCTAGTACGCAAGGTTCTGGGTGGCTCTCCTCCCCTTCCACTTCTTCGCCTACTTGCTCGTCAAGAGGAATTTCAGTGGATTCTGAGTCCTGGGTGCAAAGAGTCTTGGAGTCACTGAAGCTGGTGTCTTCTTCCACTTGACTTCCACTGTCCTTTTCAGTGTCTGATTCACCATCTTCCTCCAATGTTAGTTCAAACTGGAATTTTTCAGTTTGGCCCTGCCGACCCTCTTCCTGGTCATCAGGTGCAGGAGAAGGACTCTGAGGGATTGTGCTCTGGTACCATTCACGATTGTCCTCCAGGGTATCCAAGATATCCTGGGCATCAGGGTGAACAAGATCTGCCCATGTCTCCCAGAGAGGATGAACAATGTAGTCTATAAACCCCACCTGTTCCAAGTAATGTCACAATACAAAATTAGGATGAGTACCTTATTCCCAAGAAAAAATGCACATATAGGTTATAAAACAAAAGAGAAATAATAGAGGCTCCTGATGTTCATTCCTTCCCAGAAGAACACAGTACAATGTCTGAGCATACTATTGTCAGAAACAGGCATGCTGGATACCCTATCTTTAAGAAGGCTGAAAAGAAGCCATGCTATTCTATGTGGAAAATGGGCTTTTGTAGCATTCTCAACAGATTGCAGTGCTCCAGGCTGAATCCGTAGCTTTTTATTTTGTATTAATGGGAGATGGATATTGGAAAGGGTTTATTTTTAAATCTAATTCCCAACAACTTATTCTTATCTCTTGAGCTGAACAGCTGTTTTACATATGATTGTGCTATTAAAGGGAAGCTTAATGAAAAGATGTATCGTATTCCTCCTTATAGCACGTCCCACATTACAGAACAGTGCCATGCTGGAGCTCTTTGGCCCACACACAGCTATTTTTAATGGTAGGAAATCTCAACTCCTCTTAAAAGCTGAATTAATTAATGTGGAAAAATTCAACAACATACATCCAGAAACCCAGGCAAATAAAACAAATCAAGTGACTAAGATCCAAGTTTATCAATTAGAATGTATTGGCATGTTATCTCATTACTTATTCAAATGGATTACCTGTGATTTCTCTACAGATGCATTGTGCTTATCACACATGGGACTTATCTCCATGCCCCTCTCTCTTTCCCGGTCTCCCTGACGAAAGAACTCTTCCATTATTCTGTCGGTCCACTGGCGGTAGAGCTGGAGTGGCTTGGTTGGATTGCTTAGATCTGCACAGTGTACCATATTCTGTAAAACCTAAAATGGACAAATATATATTATCTATTGAGCACCGCCTGTGTTATTAACACTAGAAACGAAAGGCTCTTTTTTCCATTTACACATTTGGTGGCTGTGAAACAGAATCTTGAAAATACAGGTAGCGCAGCATTTATTCTGTACAGCAAAAGCTGGATGTGCCTATGTGTGTTTTTCACATTTCCATTAATAGCCAAAAATTATCTCACTTCTACAGCTTCTGTCTATATTAAGAGGTAGAAAATGTTTAAGTGCAAGGCTGATCAAGTTCAAAGATGCTTAGAGGTTAGGCCATAGCAAATTAAACCCAGAAAAAGTAGTTTCCTAGCTCAAAGCTCAACCAAAGAACTGGTCAATGCCCAACAGAATGTGATATTGAATGGAAATATGGCCCTTCCGGCTAATAAACACATTTGAAAGGAAAGGGAGAGTGTAATGAGGTGAGAATGGGGACAGAATTAAATGAGACGAACACCCAAGTAGGACTGGGGAGACAAACCTAGTAAATGAAAGCTAGTGACTATTTTTCAGCATGGATAATCTTACCTGAATTCTGTCTGAATAGTTATCAAGAAGTAGAACTCCAGAACTTGTCACTTTCTTGGTTTCAACCATAGTTTTCAAATCAGCCAACAGATTCATATGTTTAGACATGTCTGTTGCAAGCACCTTGAAGGCGAACACAAAGCATTAGTAACTAAAATGATTGAATGACAGCCACCAAATCATGAAGAGATACAGGTTTATGTTATTGTTTTTTTGGCGGGAGGTATGGGGGGAACCATGATCCACACATATGACTATATAATTTTTTTTCCTAACTAGGGTTCCCCATGCCGTAAACGCTGTTGGTTGTGCCAGCCTTTAGTTTTAACTCAAAAGAAACCCAACATACATGCTTTATACCTAATGCAATTTTCATTGCATTGCCTGCATTATGTGCCTGAGTGTATATAATGTACCAGAAATCTATCTAAGGTTTCTTTTGTTAATGGAATCTGAATGCATTAGAAGTGGGAAATTCAAGCTGTAACTCACAATGTCAATGACCATTTTCCTCAGTGATTGTCTTTGTTTTTTGGTCAGATTCTGGAAAATGTCACAATTCTCCTCCTGTAGCAACTTGAAACCCACAGCTAAATGATGGTTCTCCAATACCGATGAGTCATTGTACATCAAGGCAAGTTCAGAGTCTGCAAGACAGTCACGAGGCAGAATGTTAACAAAGCTTGTGTTTCCCTCCAGGTTATTTTTTGATTTTTCAGATTCCCAAGACAGCTGAAAAGCACATATTACTCTAATATTTACAACAGTCCTTCTCTTCATCCCTGCAGGCTGCAGGTCAAACTAACCCCTTCCTAGATTTACCATTTGGAATCTCATGAGATGGTAACGCAGAAAAGTGAGTTCATAATATTTTTAACAGGATTTAGAGATACACTTTTGTTCCTTCTATTTTTTAAACTATCTGTATTGGCTTGCACAGGAAACAAGCTTTGTGTAACCCAGAGACTATCGGAACTGATGAAGTAAACTTAAAACCCCAGAAAACCCTAACAAACTGAGGCAAAGTACGGGGAACAAGCATAAAGAATCAGATCAGTACTTTCAGAACCCATCCCACATGTGCAGCACTCACACCTTCTAACACAATATTATTAAAGTTAACTTGCATCTGCCTACAACTCAGAGCCAGAAAAACAAAGCTAAGGATTTGCCCTGGTTTAAGCATGTAGCAAACAGCTTAATTTTCATTGTATGCACTTCAACAATCTCAGGCACTCTGAGGAGTAAAGGGGTCATTAGTATATGAAAACAGCATGTTTTGGGAGGAGGGTGACAGGATAATACCAGCGGTGCTTCTCAATATTCTCTTGGGAGAGCCATATAGTTTGAAAGCCCTAAGCAGTGACCTGGCCCAATAACTGAATTGCATGCAACTCACTAGTAGTGACAGGATGCTTCTTTTTCAAATGTGAGTATTCTTAACTCGGTCTATACAGCAGTGAAAATAAAGGGGCTCATGTACCCTCTTAGCACATCCAGGAACAACTTGTACTTAGATATACGCAAAAGTCTGCATGCATCTACTTAGGCCAACTAACCAGCCTACTTTGAAAATGAAGAGCATATTTTATTCCATTTACGCAGGAGCACAGCTGGATTGTATACACACAACCATTTACATGCCTTTGAGTATATGGCCTATAACGATTGCATTATTGAAAAAGAATACTTTGTATGCAATCACACTTGTCATTTATTGACATTAATTTCTGTTTATTACAGTTTCTGTATCCTAAATCTAGCTGTGCATCAGTCTATTCTACTCTTTCTCCTCGTTATCTTCTTTTGTAGACACTATAGTCTAAAATCCCTTCAGCTCAATGGGGTTGCACATGAAGGCTCTTGTGTTCAGATTTCAGGAGCCTCATTATGTATTCTCCTGCTGTCTCACTCTCCTGTACTGAACACGTGAATCTTGTGATTCAGGAAATCCTTCCTCTACCTTTCTTTGCCTTGAAGGCAGAAAAGCCATAATAGCAGAGAAGAAAGAGACCTTGTTTGTCAACCAACAGCCCTTTCATCTTTCACAGAAAATTCTGTAAGCGTGTTTATTTGCTATTTTTCCAAGAAGGAACGTGGAAAATTGTAGGAAAATCAGCCTTTCTGGAGGCCAAGGCTGTAAGGAGTGCTCAACACTACTGTTACTCAGAAAGGTTGAGGCCCTGTGGGTGGTTTGATTTTGTTAACATTTGTAATTGCTGTGGAAGAAGGGGAAAGTACCCACATGTTATTCGATATAACAATCTTGTTAGTGGCTCCCAGTATGTTTGTGAGAAAAGATTGAAGAAAACTGTATGGCTTTATATAGTTGCTCTCCCTCAGGGGTTACGATTGAGGGGGAGCACCTTAATTCCCACAGCTCCAAGGGACCTTTGCCAAAGAGGCTGGTCAGGGGGTGCAGAGAGTCTGTCTCTCCTCTCAGTGCCCTAGCCACATCCCTCCTGGTCAGTGGCAGACATCTTGGGTGCCAGAAATCAGTATATATACTCTTAGATGAACTGTTCCTCTGTTTGGGGAAGTGTCTTTGTCCCCAAAGATGGTGATGTATTTTCTACTGTTTTTCTCTAATCCTTTTAAAGTCTGAGTCCCCACTGAATTTAATACTTGTAAAAAGAGCTCCAGTGAGAGCGTTTTTGGAGACTGGCATTTTCTGTTTATCCACAGAGTAAATAAAACACACGTAGTGACAGTACAGACTTCTCTACGGTGCCATGGCAATGCACCTCCAACCTAACTGGTAGGGAACACTATCCTGGGGGGAGAGACAGTGTTGTGCAGTCTCCATTGCCCTGAAATCCTTGGCCTCTCTTTAGCCTGCCAACAAGAGTGCCAATTAGTGCCAAATGTAATGTGGAAGCTTGTCCAGCGGTGACTAGACTAAAATGATTGTCTCATTTCTTATAAGTCACTGAATAACTATATGAATAGTTGGGCTGGATTTGAACGGTTTACCCAGAAGTGAAGAGCTTTATATACCACTATCAGTTCCTTGAGTTGGCCAGTCACCCAATGGTAATCTCACAAAAATTCAGCAATCTCTGCAGAAATGAATAAAAATAATTCCCAGATTTAAATGCTTTTACTTAAATTAAACTAAATTCTTCTCATTCTATAGCAGTTCCATGCCCTCATAATAGTGTGTTATCTTTGAATGTACCCATGAAATGGTTTATTTACATCTTGGGAGATTTAATATTAAGTGCTTTTTTGCGCACTAAGCCTGGTTCAATCTGTTCCTATGTTGCGCTGTTGAAGTGCACTTGCTATCAATATAGCTTTGAAACTCTGGTGACATCTCCAATCCTCCTCCTTGTGGTTGAGTCACCAATTTGCATTTCACTATAGGGTAGCCTGCAGGCCATTAAAGCACATAAAAATAAACTCAAATAATGTTCAGGGTCTGATTTGAACCTATAACAGCAAAAAAGTCAAAGCTGGAACACTCTCCCACAGACTGCTGGGTCATGGCATTGTAGAACTGGTGCAACAGAGTCAGTCAATGCAGAAATTACCTACATTATCTACTAACATGTATGTAGATAGGTTAAAGATGCACCCACAGACATGATTCCATTTTCTTGATTTTTCCCCCCTTGCTTTATCAGACCCTCAATGTAATTTCAACCTTGATATTTCTGGTGAGCTACTGGAAAAGGAAATTCAGTTGGGATGGCAAAAGCAATAATATTGTATAAAGTAACTTACATTGATCCAGACTGTGTTACCGGATGCATGTTGTATAATATCTTACTCCACAAATAGTCCCATTCAAATCAATGGGGTTACAAATGGAGTTAGGGGCTATTCAATAGAGATATCACGATCTAGCCCTTAAAAAATTAGAAGTCATGCTCATATTTGGTAGAAAGGTAGGAGGATTCTCGTAATGCCGCAGTACAGACCAGAGCAATGCAGAATATGTCACTGGTACACTGGACTTCACATTCAGAGGTGGTGTTAGGCTGCTCCACCTCTCCCTGCTTCTTTGTTCATATAGGGGGCTATCACTAGAGGCTGGGGAGCCTCAGAAATAGGGGGAGAGGCTTTACCACAGCCTAAGGGACTTTGCAGGCAGGAGGCAGCCATGTATGCCATGAATATGCAGAAGCTAGGAAATTATCACAGGTATCTACAGAGAGGAATGGGTCCTGCACATGCTATTTTGCAAAGAGCCACACAAACCTAGGGCTGACCCTACTCATATTAACCATTTTCTTTCTTTTTTTCATTTCTTTATATTTTATTTCCATTAATCTTCTATTCTGCTCTTACCCATTTTTTTCTTATTTAATGGAAACCTTACATAACTTCCACTTTATTTCAGGAGAAGAACTACCATTCTGCCCCTAGTGGGTGACAGTGCTAAAGTTCAGCCACCTAGTAACTCCTGCCCCCTTTGAGTATTTAGTGCAATGGGAATATTATGTCTAGGATTAAATTACTTGCAAAATGACTATCAGATTAAAATACAAACACGTGTGTATTCTAAGAAAAGGTAAGAGAAGGGTATGAAGTGGAAAAGCTTGTGCTTCTCATTTTCTATGCACATATCTTACAGGATACCAAGTAGAAACTGTAAATATTACAAAAAACCAAACAAACAAACCCTCACTTACTTGTGTTGATAAGAAATTGGTTTGAAACCCCAGGGTGATCAACATCATGTATTGCACTGGCAAAAATTGCTGCAAGAATCTCCAGATCAGTGAACACTGCCTGAAAAACCATACAATAGAAACAACAATTACTAACCAAGGAAACTGCCTTTTCAGTAAAAGGATAATGCACTGATTTTTTTTCTCCTTCAAAATTCATATTTCAAAAAATAAAACAAAAACAACAAACAAACAAAAACATCTTTCAACATAGTTTAAATATAACAGGAACTTCAAAAAGTTATTTAAATATAATCCACACAAAGTTTTGGAAAATAGTCCTTGACATATACAAGACATTTCAAATTTGGGTATCGACAGACACTTACATAAAAGTGCCTGTTTTTTAGATGTCTTGAGCACTGAAAGCACCACTGAATTCAACAGAACAAAACAATTGTGGGTTTTTCAGCATCTCTCCATAAATAAGGTCATTTGTATTTAGATCACTAAATATAAATAGGTGCCTAAATCTTAGCACCTACCCAAGTCTGAAAATTTTGGCCTAACTAATTATTATACACTGTGGTGTTACCCCAGGTAGTATATTTATGTTGCATTAAGCATTCTTATATTACATTATCAACATATCATATGTATTGGTTACGTTAAAAAGGAGCATGCCTCCTAAATTATATTAAGAGAGAATGGTTATGATTTATTACAGTATATCTGTAAGCTGCAAGGTATACATCCTACAATGTACTGATTCTCCTTTTAGAAGCCATTATGAAAATAAACTAGTCAATAACAGTATCTAGGGGGATATTAGTATTTTACTGGCTCAAACACTGTGCTGAACACAGACTCTGAAGGATAGCTGACTCAACAGATCAAGTAATGCTACTGACAATCAGTTTGGCTGCCCACTGGAGCGAGTGGTAATGCAGCTCCATTTATGAACAGAAGCTGAACCTCCTGCCTGCCATGAGGGAAATCTCCAAGAGGACTGATTCCTTTAGGAGCCAACAGACCTCTCAGAGATCTCTAGAGCTCTCCCTGTTCATCCACTTCAAGGGGAAGGCGAGGGAGGGAGGAGGCATTCAGCACCAAAGAGCCAGAGGGCTAAAATGGAAACCTGGTCTAAGTGGATGCAAATCCTTTTGAATGACTGGAGTTTCAAAGTAAAATGTAAGTTAGGCTTAATCACAGTCTTATAATAAAAGAGGAGAGAGATTCCAACATTTCTCTAGCTTCCTTTCACCTCAGAGACTTAAGCTCTCTTTTAAACAGCTCATATAAAGAGGATTCATTTAAAAAAGTCTGGATTTCAAGTTTTTTTTTAACAAAATAAGACAACCCATTAAAGATCTAATATGGGTTTAACACTGCCTGAGTACTGAATATTACATTGAAGCGAATGTTAGAGAAATTCAGTTTAGAGAAGCAGAAAAATATAAATGTAGCCTTGTGGACAGAAAATGTATCAGTGAAAAAAACAAAAACATCCTATTATATTACTTAGTGAAACATATCCTGTCATCGCCTTTTCTGTACAATTCCCATTGGTTTCAATGAGAACTCCACATGGGAAATGACAGGACATGACCTGTAGTTAAAAGTAGGTGGTGAAAACAGGTTACCACATTACCAACAGAATGTGGTTGATTTAGCACTAGTCACTGGACAAAACCAAGTAAATAAACTTGAGTCCTCACTAAATTCCCTGAGAAGACAAAGTCTCATGAAACTATATTACAAGAAACACACTGTCTTACAGACACTGGGATGATTTACATTTAGCTTAGAAGAGTTTTTGATATTTTGCATGTGTGTGTTTCCCTTTCCCCTCTTCCATGGATATGTGGATTTACCTCCAAAGCTGGGGTTGATAGCAGTACGTGGGTAGACTGAACGACATCTGCAGCATGTATGTTGTTGTGATATGCCACATCTGCATGGTAATGGTCCTCTAGGGTCATCAAGTAAGTTATTAAAGTGTCTACTGGAATTTTAAATGTTTTTAACAAATCCCGTTCCTGGAGGAAGGAAGAGGAAAACAATTCAGTTTATAAGAAACATAACAATTGCTGAATAAAGAGCACTAGTGCTGCTTCCATCTTTCCTACCTGGAAAATAGTATTCATGACGACTGTCAGAGGTCGGTTTCCAGATAGTTCTGCTATTTTGAAAACATGCAGGCCCCATTTGTTCACATCTTCTAGTTCCTAGAATGAAATTAAGCAAAAGAAACTCTTAAATCAAATACTTAATTTTCCAATTATTTTTTGTTTGAAATAGCTTCAACAGCAGAGTCATGAAGATTCAAGCTAACAAATTGGTTGAACCATTGTGAAAATAATATACTAAACCCTCTGACAGTGCTCAAATGAAAGTTTGCTTTTTATTTTGCTGATGATTTATGCATAAGAACCTTATTAATACACATACAATGCTGGTTTATTTTATATTATGTACTTCTCAGATAGAAAAAATTCCCACTATGCTCCTGTTGGAACAGAAGTTTACTATACACTCACTTCATTTTTTCAGTGTTCCTGATTTATACTTGCCTAAGTGAGATCAGAATCTGACTTAGCCCTTGAAATCAAAGGGTGTGGAAAGAGTATGGGATAACACACTGACGTCTGTTTGATAACCTCAAAACTTCATTAAACTGCATGGTAAGTTTCTAAGGTCTTGGTAGAGAACAGGTTAAATCTTCCTTACCTTGGCAAGAACATCTTCTTGTTCGGTTTTAACACCAAATTTGGGGATACTGGAATTAGTTAAACTAGAGCTGTGCATCAGTTTTTTCACTCCACTGATCTGGGACATAGGCCTCTTCTTTTTCTCTTTCTCTTTCTGTGTTGGAGAAGGGATTTCCACTTCATGTTGTTTGTCTTTGAAGAAAGGGAGAAAAAAAATAACTGAAGGGCATTTTCCATACTTACTAAAATTATATATTTTTTGTCGATCTTAGGGGTTAAGACTGTTTTTGTGTTCACTATAAACCTTCCATTATCATTCTGTCTTTTTAAAGCTAAATGTGGAGACTAATAATGATCAGAAATTAAAAACAACAAAAACTGAATAAGAAACGAAGTTCAACTGCATGAATCACTGCACTACTCCAAAGGTTGTTTCATTATTTCTGAATAGACTTTGAGGGTAGTTTGTGGCTGCATCATCCCCCCCTCACCCAACAATGTATAGGGAGGTAATCCTTTCCATAAAAAGAAAGTAGTAGACCTGTCCAGAAACTGGAATTGCATTCCATGGGACATTCCAAAATAATAATAATAAAAAAGTTCAGAATCAGAATGAAAAAATGAATGTAGGTATTTCCTTTAGAATGCAAACTCCAAAATTTCGTTTCAAACTTCTGGAAACAGCAGGCAGGGAGTCAGGGCTCCCAGGGTTTCTGAACTGCCAGAGTCTGAAAGTCCTGGTAGCTCCCACTCCGAGGCAGCCAGTGTGGCAGGCTGCCCTGGAGCCAGGGATTCTGGAAAGGCGGTTGCAAGCACTAGCAGGCTGCCAAGGAGCTAGCAGGGCAAGCTGGCAGGAAACCAAGCAGGCAGGACCAACCAAAATCTGTCTGGTTTCTGTTAAAATTTCATTATAACCAATGTGTTCTCAAAGAACATTTCTGCAGGAATACAAAATTTCAACAAACTGGCATTTTCTGAGAGAAAAAACATCCTATTCCAGAAAATTTCTGACCAGCTCTAGAAGTTATATAACATAAATACAAAAAATAGCTTGAGCTGATTATGGCAAGAAGAGCATTGATAGATTGTACTCTTAAATACTGGCTTCAGGCTAAAACATTACCATCTCTCATCCTTATGTGCACAGCCCAAGAAAATTACAATATTTTTCAAGCCCTTGTCAAAATACTGATTGTTTTTTCTTTGGTTCACACTTTAGTTTTGGAAATATCTGTTGTCTGAAGTGTTGTTATATTCTGAAGGATGACTTTGTAAAAATAACATTGTGAGGAATCATATTTCTTCTGTTTCTAACTGTGGGAAATTACTTACTTAATTTATGATGCAATAGATTTTATTTCTTAAAAAAGTGCCACACATGGAAGTTCAAACTGGGATCTGAAAATCAAGCTGTTCTTTCTGGTGCTTACATCATTACCAGTAATAAAGATATCTGTAATCAGGACTTAACTTGCAAGTTTGCTCATGGCCTATGAAGTACAAAAGAGTGAAGTTTGTTGTTCTCGGATGAATTACTCTATTGCGTTAACCAAAGTGCAAACTTGTTTTTGTCAGATATGAAGATGTGACTTGAAGATGCAAAGGAAGGAGATGTGTCAAGTAAGAAGGTGCCATTTTTACAGTCACTTTTCTGACAATGACCACACTTCAAATGTGCAGAAACACTTCCAAAAGGAAAGCTCAAAGATCCAGATACATAGTGCCTGCTTCTCATTTACAGATGGTTACTTTATGTTGATCTGGCAGTGTAAAGTTTAAAGGGGTTTATGGTTAGGGTAAATTACACTTAGATACACTTTAAGGCCCCCTTTACACTTCCAGACTAGTGAAAAGTGACCTTCATATAAATGAGAATAAGTCCCAAAGGGTACACTGCAATAGAAGACCTGTGGCACGGCTTCAGCGGTCCCAGGTCAGCTTACTCGGGCTTGCAGGATGTGGGTTGCAGGGCTATAAAACTGCAGAGATATTTGGGCTGGAGCCTGGGTTTTGAGACTCTATGAGGGAGTGGGTCTCAGAGCCCAGGCTCCAGCCAAGCCCAAACATCTACACAACCAGGGGCGGCTCCAGGCACCAAGCGTGTGCCTGGGGCGGCAAGCCGCGGGGGGCAGCCTGCCGGTTGCCCTGAGGACGGCAGTCAGGCTGCCTTTGGTGGCATGCCTGCGGGAGGTCCGCTGGTCCCTTGGTTTCGGCAGCAATTCAACGGCGGTTACGCCGAAGGCGCGGGACCAAAGGACTGCCCGCAGGCATGCCACCGAATCCACGTTACCAGCGGACTCCCTCAGGCATGCCGCCAAAGGCTGCCTCACTGCCGTACTTGGGGCGGCAAAATACATAGAGCTGCCCCTGTACACTACTATTGTTAGCTCCTCAGCTCGAGACCCGAGAGCCTGAATCAGCTGACCCTGGCTCTGAGACTCAGTGCCATGGGATTTTTATTGCAGTGTAGACATACCCCTTGAGTCTGGATTTCATTCCATGCAAGTCATTTGGAAAAGGTTCTCCTGAACTGTTTTTGTCTTGTTTCAAGCAGATGGAAAGCAACAAAGTCTGGAAGAGTTAAATATTAAATGTATTTTTTCCCATATGTACAAATTTAATTAAGTAGTCTCTGAACTTCCTCCCCCACATTTAAAAAGCCCTTTCTTTTGTGCTATGAAACAATGGAATATTCTTGAATGTTAAAGGTTTTGAAGTTAGCCTGAGTGGCCTGCAAGGTGGCCTGCAATGGAGAGAAAAAAGCGGTTTTGCCCTTTTTGCTTCCTTATGATATATAAAAGGAGGCATGAAAATATTTTAAAAAGCATTTTTATTTTTTTCTAACCTTAGAAATAAGAGGGCTAGCAAGTCCCGATCTTTCCTGTTTTTGATGGAGGACTGGTGAACTGAAGAATATGCTCTTTCACCCCTCCACTGAAGAGACAGCGTGCGTGCATGTGAAATCTATTGCAATAGAGGGCTTTTCTCCTAATTTTTAAACAAAACAAATAACCCGCCCAAAAACCAAACCAAATGAACAAAAAACAACAACTAAGCAAAGAGTTTTAAACAGTTTGATTTAAAATGTTTCCTTCTCAATTTCTCAAGCTTATCTTTTGTGATGTAATACCACCATGTGTTCTCCAGTCCTTCAAGGAGTCCTTCAGCAAAACCAGGAAAGTCAAGGAAGGACTGATATTTCTAACATAAAAATTATCAGGGAAAATAATTAAAAATACACTTCTAAACAAGCCAACAAGCCTTTTGACCTTCTATATGTTTACATATATATCCTAAAAATAAAAAAAGTACAAACATCTTTTCCCCTCCTGTGCTGGTCATCTTTAATGGACAGAGTGAAACTGCATAGGGAATGCAGTGGCATTTCTGGATTACTGTGTTTGCTCCTTCAGTTTTTATTGTCTATCTTTCAGGAGTTTGCAACCACTGGAAAATGCAGAGAATTCCGAACAAATCACAGCGAAGAAGAGAATGTAAAAATGCCACCAAGTTTTTAGCCTGCAGCATAATTCCCTCTCCCCATCCCACTCTCTGACCAATTAGAAAAGCAGGGGAGGAGGAGAGTTCTTGACTGGTGAAAAGAGACAACAGATGAAGAGCAGTGACTCGTGTGCATACCTTGATGTTTATGGTTTCGGTCATATGCACAAAGTTTAGATCCATCAACGGGGAGGATTATAAACTGAGTTGTCAGATTAGCTCAAGTGAAAGAAAGTGTCTGTCGGAAAGATTTGAGATCTGCCATGGAATTCCATGGGATTTCCTCATGTTTTGTTAAATATGGGCAGCTAATGCTATGAGTACTGATCACCTTTTGTATGTTTAAAATAAGATAATTTCCCATATTGATATGGTTTTTACAGCAGATTATTTTATACTGGTTGCTAGGTTCCATTACATTATCTGTCTAGAAGAGAACTGGTTAATCACACTGTTTATGTATGAATATACACTGTAGGAGCCTTGATTCTCTACCAAGAGAATATATATATATTTAAGGCATGTGTCGCTGATTAGGAGTGCAGCGCCTATATTTCAAAGCAAAACAGTAAAACCCTATCTTTCTCACTAAATGTTCCTAGCTTTCAAATGTTAGTAGGTCTTTAAAATGTACAGCAGATGGGTTGAGTATTAAAGAAATAAGGGGGAAAATGCAGAATTTGGTTAACAAGACATAAATTCATTTAAATTTTCTGTAAGAACATTTTCCTTCCACACATCGTTGTTCTGAATCTATATATTTATATGCATGTTCTTATTATAATATATTTAAGGAGAGTTCTGTAACTGAGATAGTCGTGTTGCAACCCCTTACATTTTCATTTCTTTTATTTATTAATATATTGTTTTTTATTTGCATGCCAACCACAGAAAGTCAATATTAATTCTCAGTAGATTCTAAGTGTTTGTCTCTCCAGAGCTTATTCTGCTTGAAAGATGCAGGTCACATGTGAAAGGCTGACAGCTGCATTTTTTATTCCTGTCAAAATGACTTTTAATTTTTCACGTGAAAACATGCAAAGATGCTGATAGCTCAGTCTTTTCAGTCAGAGGATGTGAGAGGCACCTTCTAAGTGGGTCATCTCCTCAGGCAGCCTTATCCTGAGCTTCTAAATATTCCTGAAACTGTACAATAGAGTTTCACTTCTCACACAAGCAGGTAAACTTTACTGTGCAGGTGAATCTGGGCATTCTACTAAAACAGTGAATAAATTAAATGGACACCATTTTAACCAATTCATTGAGGGTATTGTAGATTTGGATAAAATTTATTTAAACACACACCCACATTCACGCTATATTTTAACATATATTTTAATGCCCTTTAATCCTAATCTAGACATACCCATGTGTCCCTACCTATATTCACAATCTTAAATAGGCTAAGTGTGTGCTTGTCTTCAAGCCATGTTTAAATTAGCATGTTCTATATCTATCTTCAATATACACAAATACAGAATATTGTTTTTATTTATTTAAAAATAGCAATACATCTTTTTTCTTTACAAAATCACACAGGTGGGACTTGAGAGGACTGTTCCATTATTATCTTCATACCTGCTAATACAATGTCATGGTTACCAAGCCCTCCCCACCACAAGTTCCTTGGCTGAAGTTATTCTCCTAGCAGAAATCTGTTCAGATGTTGACTCAGTCATCTTTATCACCCGCTCTATCCGCAGATGGGGAATGCCAATGCACCACAACCATGTGCTGAGAGATTCAATGAGATTATTTTTAGCTGTGTACTTTCATCAGATCAAGATGCCTTTATAGTATAACCATATAACTTCTGTACTGGGCAAAATTGGAACTGGGTGCAAGGATTAAATCTTTAAATCTATCAAACAATTCACTATACTAATCCCTCCTCAATTATGTTGGTAATAGGCAAGATTATTTCATGTTAACTATAACAGTTCATGGGAATACATAGGAATAGGTCTTTAACCAAAACGCTTTGCTACAGTACTCAACAACTTTCTGAGCAAAACAGCAACACAAAATGTATATATGCAACAATTTATGCAGAGAGCTAATTTTATCAATTTATAATGATCTCTCTGTCCAAATACTAAACAATGTAGTTTATGAAATGCATAACTACTAAAAAGACAAATCACTCCCATAATATATTCTTACCTAAGAATGTGTTTGATATATATTCTGAGACCTGATTGCCTGATCGGCTCATTTCAGATAAGTGGGTCAACTCCCTGTTGAGCATTCTTTTAAACTGGGGGGGAAAAAAAAAAAAAGCATGTTAATTGTTAAGAAACAGTTAACTTACAATTTTCTCATTCTATTGATTTATAATAAATAAATACATTATATTCAGAAGATACAGTAAACTGAGAGATGAATTGTTAAAATAACAACACAAAATAATATTGCTTTACTTCGGAACTTCTCCATAGTTAGAAGACAGAATTTAAAGATAGATATTCCCCAAAGATTCGGTGTCAGAGACATTGGGACCGTGTGAGCTATTGAAAACTCTAACTGCAAGCATGTGCACACATGAATATAACTACTATTTTTGCTATTTCAATCTTCTGAATTTTAAATTTGGAGAGAAATAACTAAGTTATATTCTATGTATACACAGAGGAACACTCTTTAGTTGTGCTAAGGAATGGGAAACCATCACTTTTGAACGACTCTGTACTATAGCTCTCCTTATCATACACATACACTCACTCTTTCCATATGGTTTGTTGCCATACATTTTGCAATTTTCTCAAGTATTTTTTTTTTAAATAACTCAGAAGCTCAAATATCTTTGTAGGAAGGATCAAACATGTCAGTATCTCTTCTTTACTCTAAACCCATAACAAAAGCTATCCATTTGGAAGTGGTTTTTGTTTTATTTTCTTTTGAAACAAAGGAAAATAGGAATTGCCCACTGGATCAGATCAATGATGAAAGTCCAATATCATGTCTCTGACAGGGAGTAGTAGCAGAGGCTTCAGAGAAATAACTTGCTTACAGATGAAGTTTCCTTCTTACTGCCCCCAGCAGCTAATGGTTCACATATATATGTATCCTATTTATGTACCTGGATAGTCTCATTATCCATATAAATGTGTAATCCTTTCTTGAATCCTACTAAACACTCGGCCTTGAGGATATCTTGTGGCAGTCAGTTCCACAGGTTAATTACACATTGTAAAAAAAAGCTTTACATTTGTTGCCTTTGAATGTAATTGAACATCTCCCTATCCTTGTATTATGAGGAACAGTAAATAGTATTCAGCAATTCAAGTTACTTATTCCAATACACATTAACATGAATTTGTCAGCACTGAATTTCATCAGTCATTGTGCTACCCTTTCACCTAGTTTTGTAAGGTTTCTCTGAAACATCTCACAATATTTTCTAGTCTTGAATAACTCAAATAATTTGTATCAATTAGTTGCAAATATTTCCTATCTCACTGTTCTTCACCTCCTTTTCCATATCATCATCATATTAAATATGGCCCCAGAACATGTCCCTAAGGCACCCCACACATTGTGCCATGTTGAAAATTGATAATTAATCCTATTCTTTTTCTGTCATTTAGCTGGAAAAGCAGGCTGAAAAAATTAGCTCCCCGCATTATGTCACTGAAGCCCTTTCTTCCAGGATGCCTTGTACAGTGAATATTATTAAATATTTTTGAATTGTATTTGTAAGTCACTGACATTATGATGTTTATTTTTAAGCCACTTGATTTTTGGAGCCCAATTCATGATTTTTTTGATGTTTAAACATAGCAACACTGTAGCTCTGAATTAGGTTTTAAAAGCCCAGTGATTTCTTATGTTGTTGTGTGTTGCCATGTAGTTCGTAAAATCCATAACTCTGAATATGTAATATGTTTCTAATTTTTAGAAGTGTGTAATAGTATGCTCCAGTGTAGTATATCCAAGATCAAAATTGAGCATTTTTTGGCTTATGACAGAGAAAGAATTCAGACTTCATAGAGAGAGCTTCCTGGGCTGATCATATGTCCAGATGGAAGCAAAGATGATAGAGATAGCAAATGCAGTGGTTCCTGAGTTAGAGTTACTATGGTGCGGTGTGTGGTTTGTTGCATGGATTGGTTCCTGAGTTAGAGTTACTATGTTGCGGTGTGTGGTTGTTAGTAACTCTAACTCAGGAACCAATCCATGCAACAATTTTTACACCAGCGACACCATCACCTAACCAGATCAGCCACAACATCACTGGTTCATTCACCTGCACATCCACCAATGTAATATACGCCATCATGTGCCAGGATTAAACAAAGATTGTGAATGGCTAGCCAACTACAAAAGCAGTTTCTCCTCCCTTGGTTTTCACACCTCAGCTGCTAGAAGAGGGCATCATCCTCCCTGATTGAACTGACCTCGTTATCTCCAGACTGATTCTGGCCTGCATATTTATACTTGCCTCTGGAAATTTCCACCACATGCGCCTGACGAAGTGGGTATTCACCCACGAAAGCTTATGCTCCAATACGTCTGTTAGTCTATAAGGTGCCACAGGACTCTTTGTTGCTTAATTCCAGTTACCACTGACAACAGGACCTTTCCTTCCTTGATGTATACACCTAGACAATTCTGTCTTTCATTTTTGTAGCTGTAGCACAGCATTAATGGTAGTCTTTATCACCTAGGAAAGACTGTCCTGGAATTTCTGCTGACCATGAGAACTGCTTAAAAAGTCTACACTCTCTTTAATTTCACCGTAACCGGCCTGATGCAGATCCTTGGTCTCTCATCTGCCCATCATATGCACAGGTCATTTTAAACAATATAATCGAATCTAGACTGCCACACAGTATGAAATTGTACAAATATATTGGTCAATACTTTCTACTTTCCTGCTATTCGATAATAGGGATACTAATATTAAAATAAGGCTCCTACCAACTCCAAACCTCCACAAAACAAACAAAAAGGTCACTAACACAATATTTGGAGTAAAATCCAGGATCTCACCCTTCGCCTTCAACCAGATTGGAAGTATAAATCCCAAATCTATTCTTCAGTTTATCTCCCATACTTAAGGTGTACAACCAACAATGCTTTTGATATGATTTGCTAACTTCATTTTAAAAACATCTGGACAGTGTTTAACATTGATTTTCTTTTTTAATTAGATATGACAAAGCTAGGTACTTTATCAGCACTAAGATGTATGTTCTGTTGAAGTCCTTTATAAAGTTAGTCTTTGAAATAACATATGCTGCCAGTGAAAGAGAGCAATGATGCTGCTGTTATTAGGCAGACAACACTCAGGAACATACAGATGTTCATGTGTTTGAGTTTCTAATGGAGGATTGGGTTAGTGATGAAACAGTCCAGATTTTTTGTTGTTGTTGTGATCATATGCTAGTTTACTGTAGTTGTTTATTATTTGATACTCTTTAATTCAGAAATTCTCACATGCAGTATTCTGTTCTTTCAAGAAACAATAAATCAAATAATAAAATAATAATAATAATAGACATAACAATTTGAGCCATGTTCTCTCCTGCTGGTTTCACTGGGCTCTCATTGACTTCTACTGGGGCCAAGAGTGCACTTCAAAAGGCAAGCAGAATATGTTGCCCTGCAGCATCAACTCACAGCATGTTTGTTCATCCATGCATTGTCGTTTTAGAATGAAACTGTGCGTGGCACTCACATGGCCCACTGCAAGATCTGAGCTTAAATCACACAGGTTCTTGCCACAGCTGTGGGTTAGCAGAGTATACATTTCCCAGCCTGCAAGTAAAAGCCTCCCTAAGTGTATGAAACTTGGTTAAAATGTCTATACCCTGATGATTTGTAAGTTACAGAAATAGTAATATTGATCAGCTAAAAAGTGCTTTTACATTTCCAGACACTGCACATTCATGATCAAAGAAATAAAATTGCTTGTTTGAGAAAACTCTAGGGTTTCAAAATGGCATAAATAAAAGCCAGCCAAAATTTGGAATAATTATTGTTAATTATTAATTTTAGATAATGTTAAAATGATTAAAAAGTTGTATTTTGAAAAAACCTAAACCAACTACTGCACAATTTAAAATAATTTTTAAATTTATAATATGCAAAATCTATTGCTCCTAAGATACATTTACAACATACAGTGTAGCTATTATACTGGCATCTCAGCCTAAGGAACAAAGGTTTTGGCAGACCTAGGTGTACACCGAATTCTCCTTTTACAACGTGCCTAGCAAGTGAGAATCGGAGAAGGATTTACCCACTTCAGCTTCCAGACCCTTTTTAAAAGCAAAAATGATATACCAAACCCTTTAAACTGTCAAAGTCCATTGGCTGAAGAATGCATAGGCTAAGCTATTCCCCATTGGGAATTCCCCACTGTAATGTGTCCAATGGGTCAGTAGCATGTATTTTCACAATGGAGACTGATGTAGGGTGACCAGATGTCCTAATTTTATAGGGACAGTTCCAATATTTGGGGCTCTGTCTTATATAGGCTCCTATTACCTCCCCACCCCCTGTCCTGATTTTTCACATTTGCTGTCTGGTCACCCTAGACTGATGCCACATCTAATAATCCAATTACTGAAAAATCTCTGAAGATAGCAGAAACCCTGGTTTCAATTCTTACATGTTTCTATTAGACCTTATTTTTTTTCCTTTTACTATTACTATAGAAAACTATAGCATAGACACTATATTCAAGTAATACTAAATATCTAGCTTCAGGCCACAAAAGTATTACAGTACAATAGCATTGCTTATTTTGGACCATATTCTGCAATTATTTGTATATCTGCCTAACTTTAAACATGTGAGCAGGCCTATAATGGAACTACTCACGTGCTTAAAGTAAAGCACATACACAAGTATTTGCAGGACTGGGGCTTTTTTCTCAATACTGCGGTTATCTCCAAACAATGAGTGTTCTTATAAATTAGGTTAGAAGCTTCCTAGTCATTTCAATTTGTTTTGGGCTGAAGCCTAGAATACATATTCCAAATTTCACAGAATTTTCATTTGTGTCTATGTTTACTTTATTAAGAATTTATTCAAACATTATTTTGTTAGCGGAGATAAAATACAAATGATATTTTTATAGTACTCTGTGCAGAACACCTTGCAATGGTTCTTTGAAGAATTCTGACAATTTCTTGCAGTATTAATGTTCTCAGTCAACACCCTTTACATATATGTAACATTTCTCTGGGGTTATATTTACAGTGGGTTGAACCTTGAAGTCTCAAGGATGGTAATTAGGTTCAAAGCAAA